GGTTTAGTCGTTAAACCGTCTTCAACGGTTTTTTGCAAAAGAATGGGCCGAGGAGGAAATGGAACTAAATAGATGACTAGTTTTCAGGTCAAGCAGTTCAACCGCCCGAATCAATGATGAATAAACCAATGTTCCAAATAGTAATTGGATTGATTCTACATTTGTTATTACATATTTACATAGCCTATACGAGGTCTGGTTCCAGAACTGGTTCTGCACATTTATCTATCGAATCTAGACTAGATCTAACCTAAACTGGACCAGACCGAGCCAACCTATTGATAGCACTATTTGGAAATGATCTCCCATAATATTACAAGCATCTTATGAGAAACAAAGGAATAACACTAGGCGTATACATCTTTGTAATATATGCATGAACATGTTTTAATTTAATACTATAATCCAAACACATGATTTAGAACTAGACGGCAGACCCAATTCTGTTTGGTTTGTGGGTTCTAACTAACCCATTGTATAACGTCAACAGTCCTAACAAGATCTTTATTTGGTATGGTACAAACAATAAGGCTGGCTAGTTGAATCACTTGGCCTTCAAGCACCATGGCTTAAGACCATGTCATGAGATTGATTATCAATTATGCTCTTTATGTTATTTAAGTAAAAAACTCCCTTAGAGTTTCTAACCTTTGCTAAAAGTCTTCCCTAAAGTTTGGTGATTGCAATTACCTCCCCTGAACATTTTAATACAATTGCAAATACACCCCCTTTGTTAGAATCCTATAACAAGAGGCATGAAAATGTTTAATATACCCATGTAGTTACTTTTGACCAAAATGTTTATTTTCCAAATTTTATCTTCATATCAATCGCTACTCCAAATACCTCCAACCTCTTTTCTAATATTGATTTATTTTCCAAATTTACTCTTCATATCAATTACTCAAAGGGAAAGCTACAACTTTAAATTCTCTTTTTTTTTTGTTGTTCATAAAGTTTGTATTGTTTTTTCTTTTTTGTAAAACTAGTCTTTGTAGTAATTGCATGGGTATTTTAGTCATTTTGTGTCTGTTGTTGGAGTATTCTAACAGAGGGGGGCTACTTGCAACTATGCTAGAAAGTTCAAGGGAGGTGATTGTGATTGCCAAACTTTAGGAGAGATTTCTGCTATGGTTAGAAACTCTAGGGGAGGTTTCAGAAATTTACTCTTTTTTATGAAAAAACAATGCAAACCAAGATGTCGTGTGTCTTATGAAATATCATAAGAAAATTGTTTCTTCAATTTCTTAATCATGTCCTGAATTAGAAAAAAATGGTCTTTCAAGACCTTGAACCCATTAGGCCTGTAAGCAGTATTTGAAAATCTGATATTCAACATAATCAGATCGAACTCAGATAGTTCGAATTGGATATTCAATCGAATTTGAATGCATTGATTTGGTTCAATATATATATATATATATATATATATATATAACATTAAACTTTACACATTCCCCCTCCCAAAATCCCACCTAACCCGGCTCTCCCTCTCCTCTTTATTTTTCGATTTGTATTAAGATTTCTAAACTCTAACCTTATGGCCACCACCTAGCCCAAGCAACCACCAAATTAGTCGCCTAAGGGTGCAAGTTGGGCGAGTCGGGTTGGGTGATCAACCCAAGCCCAAACCTAAAATTTGGGCTTAAGGCCCGAGCTCAAGGTCAAGCCCAATCTTCCCAACCTAAGCCTAGCCCGAATTGTAATTTGATGCACTCGGGTTGGGATTGGCCCTAGGTTGTGCTCAGGTTGGTCAATGAACCCATCCTAAAATTATACAAGTATAATATGCATTTATGCAAATGTATGTATACATCTAGTAGGTTCGAGCTCAGCTTGTTTAATAATCGAGACACTGAATTGGGCTCAAACTCAAACTGGAGTTCGACTAAAACCGAGTCGAGTGAGCTCGAGCAGCTCGTGAAAAGCTCGGCTCGTTGCCACCCCTACCCACCGCGGCACCATCTTCAACATGACTCTCTAATCTCCATCTCCCCTGCCTCTCTTGCCCTCTTGGTCTAAAGTCTAATACCACCATTGTCACCTATCACTACCATTGTTTGGAATCAAAAGGACATAGGACGCCATCAAGATTCAAGATGCAAGGTTCATTTTGCTCTAGTGGGTGAAGGAAAGTTCTATCAGGGCTTTGAGGTAAGGACTCTATATCATATCATAATTTTTTAAGAACCCTCATGATCTCTTTTTTTCTTTTTACATGTTTAGATTTTGATTTTTGTCTTTGCCATGGTTTACCATCTTTGCTAGATTACCATTTTTTTAATCAACTGAATTCGAATCAAAATGAATATTCAACTTAGTAGTCGAAATTGAACTCAAACCTAAGTTTTAAATATCCAATAGATATCGAAACGAAACGAATATTCAACTTAGTAATCAAAATTGAATTGGAACTTAAGTTTTGAATATCCATCAATTATTGAATCGAATTTGAATATCAGGAATCATAATCAAATCTAACTTGATTTGGTTCGAATTCGATCCGTTTATAAGCCTACTTCCAACCGAAGGTGTCTTCACCTACCATCAAAGATACCTATTTTTTTATTACTAGTTTATTAGGTTCCTAGGTTCCACATGGCGACCTTTGATTCAATGGTCAACTCTGCATTTGCCTTAATAAAATACTACTCTATAAACTAAACTAGCGCTTTGTTGACGAGTAAATTAGCATGTGTTTGAAACATTGGACATTTATTGAATAAACGTTGTCACATAGGCGCCGCTTCAACATTTCACCCATTATGTGAATCCGTACACATTGCAAAAGTAGACTTTGGTTTATGTGCACGTCTACCATTGGGGGAAGCTTCACTTTAGCACTTCCCCCGATAGGCATTTATTCACTATTTTGCTGATGTAACGTCTAATGGTGCCTAAGTGTCACTAAACAGGTTCATCATTGTTTTTCTCGATTTTCCGAACATATCAAGTACAAAACATGTAATCAATAAACATCCACACTTCCAAACACATACCTTAGTTGTTTCAGTCTTGTACTTGCAACCTCCGGGCGGGCCTTCAATGGCAGCAATAAACAAATTAAACTCACAATCGCATAAAAGGAATTCATAGTAAACAGTCAAACATTACTCTAAATTCTAAAAGCTAGTCTCTGCTTCTCAAATCCCAATGCATTAACATAAATTCTCACCCATACAGGGACGCCTCATTCAGTCGAGCATCCTTTTCTCCTCCACGCCGGTATGGCCAGTTCACCGGCAAAGCTTTTGGCAGCATTGCTATTTACGTTTTTCCTCCTTGATGGGTTTCCGGCGGGGAGATACTACAGCTCGCTTAATTCCGGTATGCTCTTCCCTCCATTTCAAGGTGCAAATCCCTAGTTAGATTTCCTCAGCTGAGATCATGTTTTCAGTTCTTTTCAATTGGGATACTTGTTATGTTTCATTTCGTTTCTCAGTTGAATGTGGTTTACCTGTTTGCTCACTTGAAAGGTGATGAGAAGAGTTTGGAGTGGATTTCAGGGTGCCATGACGGATCAAGGAAGGAGATCCCAGGCAAGAAAGGTCACCTCGGCTGTGCAAACAGTTGGAAACTTGGAATGTTCATGAAAGGATAGCGGCGGTCTGGCATCAGGACTACAGCACCACCCACGCAAGTTCACAATGTTGCAACCCGTTCTGGTATTCATTTCCCTCCGCCACCCATTCCTCGTTGGTTTGCTATCGATTTCGGTTTAGGAACATGTGTGACTTCATTTATCCGTTCAGCTATCAAAAGACCCAACTTTCCTCTTCTAGCGATAGTCTGTTAACACCCTAGTTAAACTTGGATAAGGTTCCTCTTTTATAAATGAATAAACTGGTTTCAAATTCAAGGATGGCAATACAGTCGCCACATCAAGTTGCATCAAACATGCACTCACATAACCACTCACTGATCATGTGCTCTCAGAATGCCACTCACTGACAGAAGAAGATTAATTGACCACAACAAAAATGGGTCTAAGCAACAAGTAACAAGATGATTACTTGGAAAATTGTCTTCCTATGATATGTGATATCTTCTCAGAAACATGGTTCTTGAGAGCTTGCTTGTTACTTCCAGCACCACATTGGTTAAAAGATTGTTGGTTCTAAACAAAAAAGTAACAAGCAGGCATTCAAGAACCCTAAACCAGTGATATCTGACCTGGATTGGATCAGTCGGCTGGACCAGTGAACTAGATACAGACGAAGCTTTCTAGGACATGCTTTTTGGACGGTTTTTGAGTTGAATGAGTAATTCACTAACTGTAAACCAGTAACACAGCAAGCTTTCGGATTGTTTTTATGCCATCAGAATCTAACGGCACTACACTAAACAGCCCCACCAGCAACTCACCCTATACACCAATAGCTTTTGATAAACCAATGGTTTCAGACTTTCGATCAGAAAGAACCTAGGGCAACTGTAAAAAAAAGGAAATGGAATTAATCAACTTTGACTGTAATCCTCCAAATAAGTTAGGATATGCCCCTCCATAGCAGGCTATATACAAGGGCATTGGATAATAAGGTCCCAATACATTAAATTACACCCGAGCAACCACCAAATCCTGTGAATGTCATAACCAAACAAACCAGTTCTGTCTCAACAAATCATTTGTTCTTGCTTTCATACATTTCAATTCAGTGAACAAACCCCAACACGGAAATAAAAGAAAAAGGGGTTGGGCTCAAATCAGAAGACAAGCAAGCAAGCACATCTTTCACATATCAATGACACAAACCAATTAAGACCATTAAATAAGAGTCCATCCCAATGCAGATACAAGAAACAACAAAGCTTAAACAATATTAAAATCTAAATACACTGTTTAACCTCTCGCAGCAATATTAGGAATCACATCCAATCCGCATCATATCATAAGAATAAAAAAAGATCAATGCGAATCCAGTAACCAATTAATTTCTCCCACCAATTAACTAAAAGAAATTCCACCCGTTATCGTGTATGTATCAAATGCACACAAAACGAAATTCAAGATAAATGACAATTGCTCCATTTTCAATGCAATCAAAACATCAAATATCTGCAATTAAACAACCAAAACGTCGTCCTTTTCAATGTCCAAAATTAAACCCATATTCTTCTTCATCTTAGAAACGAAATCAAATGGACCCAACTACAATAACAGTAACAACTATCAAAAAAAGGGAACCGAAAAGAGGGGACCTAGCTTTCTTCCCATTCAACTCACTAACGCTCAACAGCTCAGTATCGCCGAGGACCTCCTCCAGGGGCACCGGACCTAGCGAATGCCGAAGGAGCGAGAGCTGGTTCGGCCTGCTTGACGACGCCGGGAAGATCAGCCATTCCGAGAGCAGCAAGCATGTCGATGGTCTCCTTGTCGACCTCGATGAGATCCGTCTTGATGGCGGACTCATCAGGAACGAAGTCCATACGACGCTCGCGCTCCTCCTCTTGGAGTTTCAACGAGATCCCACGAACCGGGCCTCTCTGGATTCGCTTCATGAGGTGGGTAGAGAAGCCGGCGATCTTGTTGCGGAGACGCTTGGAGGGAATGATGGCGACCTCCTCCACGATCTTCTTGTTGGTGTGGAAATCCAGGGTCATCCGAGAGTAGTACCTCTCAATCAGCTGCCGCGAAGACTTCTTCACGGTCTTGGTGCGAACTCGACCCATGGCGGCTTCTGAGGGAGAGCTGGCTTACCTGCAACCTGCGAAGAAAACAAAGAGATAGAGCAGAGAGCGAGAGGGGATGCAGAGGATGAAAGGGTTTTTGTACTAGGGTTTCGTCTGCCCTATATAAGAGCGCACACAAATTCACATTCCCTTGTTACCCTCAACTTTTTGTGTTATTGACAAAACAACCGTCTCCAATCCAAAGGCCCAGGTTTCTCCATGAACTATGAAGGAAGGATTTGAAAGCGGGCTCAATGTTCTTTTCTTTAAAAAATTTGGCCCATCATTGGCTATTCTACAAATGTAATTAAAGCATTCTTTCACTTAAGAAAAATGAATGGAATTTTAAATAAAACATTTATCACTCTCATCCCAAGGTGTGGGAATGCAGACTCGATTAACAAGTTCATACCTTTAAGCCTTTGTAATTTTCTCTATAAAATCATCCCTAGGATTCTTGTTGATAGAATTAAGCCCTTCTTGGACGACATCATTTCCCCTTTCTAAAGTGCTTTCATCTCAGGTAGGCAAATCATTAATAATGTTCTAATTACCCATGAAATTCTCCATTCAATGAAGAATAAGAAAGGTAAGACTGGGGCTATGGTTTGCAAGATTGATATGGAGAAAGTTTATGATAGACTTGATTGGAGTTTTATTGAGGGTATCCTTAGGAGATATGATTTCCACCCCAAATGGTTCGGTTGGATGTTGGAATGTATTAAGTCAGTTTCATACCAGATTCTTATTAATGATGTTCCTTCCAAGGAACTCATACCCTCTCGAGGAATTAGACAAGGAGACCCACTCTCTTCTTATCTTTTTGTGCTTTGTGTTGAAGCATTAACAAAGAATCTACAGGAAGTCTCCCATAATCATGAGAAACTTATTGGATGTAAAGCCTCGAGATATGGCCCGTGTATCCCAATTCTTCAATTTGCAGCTGATTGTCTTATATTTGCAAGGGCTAGCATTCAAACTTGCCTAACTATCAAAGATATTTTGGATAAATTTGCAAAGGCCTCTATCTAGGCTCCCAACTTCAGTAAGTCGAACATCATCATATCAGAGAATATTTATCCAAGATTACAAAAAATTTTGTCAAGAATTTTGAATATTCCACTAGGCAATAAAAATGATCTTTATTTAGGAGAGTCAGTCTCCTCTAGTAGGTACTGTAAGAAGACCTTTAATTTTTCTAAATGAGAAGATCGAGAAAAGACTTGCAGGGTGGAAAAGAAACACTTTGTCTCTTGTAGGAAAGATCACGCTCCCCAAGTCCTCGACAAGTATGATCCCCCAATATATCATGCAAGTCTTCAAAATTCCCAAAAATACCATAGAGGAGATGGACAGGAAGCAAAGAGAGTTTCTTTGGAAAAGTAATAATGATAGAAAACCTATACATTTGGTTAACTGGAACAGAGTCTGTACTTCAAAACAATGGGGAGGAATGGAACTAAGGAATCTTTGGTGGACTAACCAAGCTAACTTAGCCAAACTTGGATGGAGAATTTTGAATGAAAAGGATAATCTTTGGGTCTAGGTTGTCAGATAGAAATACCTAAGGATGAAGGATTTTTGGGACTTAGACATCAAGAAGGGTTATTCATGGGCATGGAAAGTCATTCTTTCATCGAGAGACCTTATTAAACATGGTATTGGTGTTATCATTGGCAATGGTAACACAACCATATTCTAGCTGGATAACTGGGTTGATGGGGGACCCCTTGTTAATGAGGTAAATAAAGATACCATTACTGATATTAATCTCAAAGTTAGTGAGGCAATTGACAAGGAGAAACTCACATGGGATAAAGCAAAAATTTGTAGTTTGGTCCCTATTTCTGCTTGGAATAAAATTAAGGCAATTTTCATCCCGTCTAGTGAGACTAAAGACAAACAAATCTGGAGACCCAACCTGGATGACAGTTTTTCTATTAAATCAGCCTACAATGAAGCTTGCATTATGAACGGCAACAACCCCAGAAATTGAAATGGTTCCAAAAAAGTGTAGGGTATGAAAGCCCCTCGTAAGTACAAATATTTCTTATTCTTGCTTCTCAACCTAAAGCTGCCCACTAAAAAATTGCTAATTTTGAGAGGGCTGAATATTGATGGTTCCTATGTGATGTGTGGTGAGGAAGAAGACACATACCACCTTTTTATAAATTGCCCTTTTGCTAAACAAGTATGGAATATTGCTAAAGACTCCCTCCGGATTCCTAATGACTTCAACGACAATATTTGTGATTGGTGGAATCACATCTTGAGTAATAATGGAATGGATCCAAGTGGCTCCTATAGAAAGGAGAAATTTGTACTCCTCTTGCAACTTTGGAAGAATCACAAAGAATGTGTTTTCAAAAATAGGAGTTTGCCTCCCTCTATTATCATTGAAAGGGCTTATAATACGTTCTTGGAGATCCATGAGGTGAATGATGAAAATCAAAGTAGTTTGAGAAAGAAGGAAGTTATTCCTGTTAGATGGAATAGTCCTAATTTTGAGGCTATTAAAATTAATTTTGATGCCTCATGTATTAGTGGGGACTGCTCAGTTGCTTGTGTTGCCAGGGATCACCTTGATCATATTTTGGATTTCAAGGCTTACAAGCTAGGGAAAACTACAATCAATATAGCTAAAGTGTGGGCTGCGTGGGAGGCCCACAATCTTAGCCTTAACTTTCCTAACAAGTTCATCATCATCAAAGGAGATTCGAAGCTAGTTATTGATAGTTTGAAAAGGATTTCCAGCCCCCGTGGAGAGTGCGTCAAATTATTGAAGAGTGCATCGCTTTAAGGGAGAGACTAGAGGGAACTATTGAGTATCATCACATCTACAGAGAAGGAAATATTGTTGCAGACTAGCTATCTAACCATACACACACCAACGAAACATCTTTTAGCTCCATTCCTAGGCCTCTGTGTAACCGCTTGTTTTGATTTCCGGGGACGTGCTACCCCCCGTTCTGTGTAGCCCCTTTCTAGTTCTATAAAAAAATTAAAAAAAGGTCAAAGGGCTGCACATGACCTAGGCTTGGTATGAAAATGATATATGTATTCGATAAAAATTGAAGAGGCCCAAACCATGGCCTTCATGCCCAAATGAATAACCCTATTGTTCTTTTTAAGCCCTAAAAATGAAGGTAACATGGGTCAGGTCAACTTAAACCCAATCCAAAGAAGTTTTAATGGATTGAATTTGCTTAAAGGTTTGATTAGGGTTTTTCTGGAAAGAAACCGAATGTTCTTGAGCCTAACAACATTAGTAACTTCTCAAGTTAATTGGCATACCTTGACTTCATAGGTTAGAAATTAGTCCTACCAATCATGGCAATGGTGAATTAGCTTTAATCATTTGACCAATTTTAAAGGCTTGTGGTCAAAATCCAATAAAGCCTTGTAAAAAATGAGGGAAAAAGAAAAAAAATCATAAAGTTAGAAGTGATGGTTGAGCTAGTGGTTTGCTTGGGTTATTAAAATTTGTTCACCAAGAGGTCTCCAAATACATAACAAGCCACAAGTTCAGGTTTTACAGTCCTGATGCAAGCAAGGACCTGTCCTCATGGACAATATGATATCTAGTCTTAAATTTCTAAAAAAAAATGACCCAAGTTGATGTCATTAGATTGATTCTCTCAGATTAAATATAAATATTTTCTCAAATCAGCTTAGTGTATCCCATTTAAATGGCTTATAGTAATACCTAAATTTATGTCGATTAAGGAAGGAAAATCACGGTTGAACACATTACTTTTTGCGTGTAGGCCCAATCCTTTGTGAAGTGGCATTTGGTCTGAACTCCAACTATTGGGAATTGGACCATGTTTCAATGAGAGGATATGCTTTCCTTATAAAAATAAGAGGTGAAGATCGATGGTGACTGGCAAAACTTTCTTGTCATCAAGGTCTGGAGTAATAAGTCAATTCGAGTTGCAGGTTTGAAAGAATACCTAATCAAGGCGTGGGATTTAGAAGATCACTCAAAAATTATCCCTTATGTAAATAAATCATTTTTGGTGAAATTTGCCTCAAAGTATGATAGAAACTTTATTTATGATGTTGGACCGTGGAATTTTAATGGAGATGCTATCCTTATGGAAAAGTGTGAGATCGATACTACACCAAATGCTTACAATCTCACTGTGGTGGAACTTTGGGTGCAACTTCACAACTTACCTCTAGCCTATCTAACTTTAGAAGTGGTGATGAATCTTGCAAGTTTCTTGGGCAATCCTATTGAACCCAGAAAAGAGGAAGTCCAACTTTGGGTCAAGTATGCTCGCATCAAAGTTCCGATGAATATTTTTAGACCCCTAATGAAACGAATTCCATACGCTTTTCTTGGTGGAGAAGATATCTAGGTAGATTGTATCTATGAATGTCTTCCAAGGTTTTGTAGCTTGTGTGGAAGAATTGGCCATGACTTTGATGGTTGTAAAGTTAGGCAAGACATTTTAGAGAAGATTGACAATTGTAAAACAAAAGAAATGAAGAACAAATTTCAAAGTTTACTCAAAGAAAATTATCCTCCTACTTTGCATTATACCCCACTGATCATCAGGTCCTCCACTTCTGATGGGAAGAAAAGAGAAACATTCCATCGTCGGACTACAAATTTTGATTCTCCTTCAAATTCATCTCCGCAATCGTCGGCCAACAATGCTCACAGTGATCAGTTTGACTCGGTGCAAGTGGAAGTGATGGAGGGACATGATGGTAATTTTGTAGGTGATACAACTAAGAAAAATAAAGAGTCATGGATTGTTAAGGAATGTGAGTCCAGAAAAATAGAAAACGTTAGTGATCCTCTTAATTGTAAGGAGAATATCACGTCCGTGATTCTCTCTCAACAAAATCATTCACTCATCATTAATTTGGAAAGTGGCAATTTAGAAAATTTTGAAGATTCAATCTTAGGAAATAAAGAAAAGGGAAGCAATAAAAGGAATTGTGAAGAGTATCCTAAGAAATCCTTTGTAGAGAGCCAAGTTTTGTTGAATGCTTGTGATGGATTGTCTAGGCCCACAAAGTGACTCAAGTGTCTGGCATGACAAAGTCCAATGGAGCATGGTACTTGTTCTACTTTGAGAGCCAAGGTGGTGGGCCACAATTCACCACCAATGACCCAATGATCCTTATGGCTTGGAACTATCAAGGGGGTGGAAGCTCCTCGACAGTTCATCATTTACAAAATCTCCTTTTGAGGTTCAAGCCAATTATCTTTTTTATTTTAGAGACAAAAAGCTCATTGAAGAAATCTAAAAAACTATTTCAATTTTGTAAAGATTACCAAGTGCATATTGTAGAACCTAATTGTACTGACGGTGGTCTTTGGCTAGGCAGGTTAAAGAATTTGCATGTGGATGTTTTGACCTCTTATGAAAATTTTATTGCCATTAGAATTTCATATTGGTCGAAAGGATGTGTATGGGATTTACTCTGCTATTACACTCAACCAAATAGAGAGGGTTGTCTGAATTGTTTAGTTGATACTAAAAATTTCTTTCTTACCACTTCCAATCCTTGGTGCTTGTTGGGGGACCTCAATTTAATTGCAAATGCCTTTGAAAAAGTAGGGGGGAAATAAATTGTCTTCTTTACAAACAAACCTATTACAAAAGTTAATGAATGAGTGTAACTTGCTTGATATGGGCTTTAATGGGCTAGGTTTTACATGGTGTAACAATGTGCACCAAACCATCTTATCTTTAAATGTTTGGACCGGCTTTTAGCAACTTCTGAATGGGTTCAAATTTTTCCAACAACAGTTGTTCATCATTTCCCAATAATAGCTAGTGACCATTTATCATTAGTTGCTCATATTGTATCCCCTATTAAAGGGAAAAAGCATTTCTGTTTAGAGGAATATTGGACAAGGTAAAAAGGATTCATGGATCAAATTTTTTCTATTTGGGCTGAAGCGCAAGGTTCCTATCCTCAAACATTGTGCTCAACTAAGTGTGCTATGTTCAAATATGATCAAGACATGTTTGGTCAAATAGCCCAACGAATTCACTCTCTTGAGAAGGAATTGAATCATATTCATAATTTCCGGAGTTCTACTTTTGATCCTAAGTCTGTTGAACTAGAAATAAATATAAGGAGAGAGCTTGAAAGTTGGATGCACAGAGAAGAAAACTACTGGGGACAGAGAGAAAGAGTGAAATGGCATTTGGAAGGTGACAGATGTACAAAATTCTACCATATTACAGCCTCAAATAAATTTCAGAAAAATTTTGTCCATTGGCTTAAAGACTTACTTGGCAATTGGTCATCTTCTCAACAAGTCATCCTCTCTACCTTTTCCTCTTATTTTCAAGGCCTTTTTCACACTTCTACTCCAAATCTTGATGATTTTAGAGGACTAACCCCTGTTATTTAGCCTTCAACTAATGATTTTTTATGTCAACAGCCAATTTCTGAAGAGATTAGATCTGCTTTATTTTCTATTCACCCTTCAAAAGTATCATGCCCAGATGGTATGCATGCCTTTGTTTATCATAAATGTTGGCATATTATTGGTGGTGAACTTATTTTGTTTATTCAAGATTGCTTCTGGAATCCAAGTAAAATCAAAGAAATCAACCAAACTGCTATTTGCTTGATTCCAAAGATTTAAATAGTAGAAGAGGCTAGGGATTTTAAACCCAATGGGTTAAGTTATGTCCTCTACAAGATTATTGCTAAGTTGTTGACTCAGTGGCTGAAACATATTATTCCATCTCTCATCTCCCCCTATCAATCAACTTTCACTCCTAGTAGACAAATTGCAGATAATTTCATCATTTGCCAAGATGTTATTCATACAATGAAGAGACAAAAAGGTAAAACTTTTTATTGTATGCTAAAATTAGATCCCAATAAGGCGTATGATATAATGGAATGGTCGTCTTTAATGACTATACTATAGAGTCTAGGTTTTGTTGATCACTTTTGCTCCTTGTTTTTTCATTGTATTTCTACTCCCAATCTTGTTGTGATGGTTAATGGGCAACTTGGTGATTTTTTACTCCTCAAGGACTAAAACAAGGTTATCCACTATCATTTTACTTGTTTATTCTAGGAGCTAAGGTTCTCTCTCATTTGCTTCAAAGCAAACTAGATTCTAAAGAATTACATGGAATTCGCTTTGGTAGAATTGGTATGTGTCTAAACCACCTTCTCTTTGCTGATGTTTTATTAATCTTTGGTAAATGTTCCCTTCGTGAAGTTGATTGTATTAAAAATCAATTGGGTACTTTCTGTAAGTGGTCGGGCAAGAAATTAGTTATCAAAAGTCAACAATCTACTTCAGTTCAAACACACATAGACGCATGAGATTGAGAATTGCTTCAAACCTTGGGATCAGAGTTATGGGCTCAACCAAGAAATATCTTGGCGGCCCAATTTTTGTTGATAGATCCAAAAGTATTGGGTGGAATTTTCTTGTTGATAAAGTCTAAAGTAAACTTCAGAGTTGGAAAGCAAATACTCTTTCACAAGTTGGGCATACAATACTAATAAAATCAACTTTGGAGACCATACCTACATATCATATGCAAACTTAACTCATGCCAAAAACTGTGTGTGCAGAGATAAATTATGTAGAGACTTTTAGTAGAATGGACATACTAGGCCAAGACCAATCTATCTCAAGTCTTGGAGCTTTATTTTACGTCGAAAATATATGGGTGGTTTGGGCCTTACAGATGTTGAGTGGAAGAACAAAGCACTTCGGGTAAACTTTGTTGATGTTTTTGCACTAAAGAAGAGTCTCTTTAGGTCAGGCTTCTAAAAGAAAAGTATCTAACTAATCAT